TTAGTGGTGGTGATGATAGTGATAATGTTAATAACGATAATGAAAATAGAAGTATTAGTTGTGGTGGTGGTAGTAGCGGTAATACTAACAACGATAACAACAAAAGTAGCAATAACAACAATAACAAATACAACAGCGATGATGGGGATGATGATGATGATGATGATGATGATGATGATGATGATGATGATGATGATGTTGATGATGATGATGATGATGATGATGATGATGATGATTATGATGATGATGATGATGATGATGATGATAATAATAATAATAACAATGACAATAATAGTAACTATACAACTAATAACACTAATAATGCTATCGACAAGGATATAATGTTGATAATAAAGATAACAGCATTAATAGTAATATTAATGATAATAATAGTAATAATCACAATAAAGATAATAATTATTATGACAATAATAATAGTAATGATAATAACAATGACAATAATAATAATAATATGATGATGATGATAATGGTGATAATAATGACAATCATAAAAAATACAATAACGGAAATTATCATGAAATTTATAACAAGAACAATAACACTAGATACACTTATTAGAACAGCAACAGTACTAATAATAACTGATATGTAAAGACCCACCAATTGTAAATACAGGTCTTGAACTCATGTCAAGTAATAAAATTAACTATGGCAGAACATGAAGTTTCTTATTTACTTTACGAGTTGTGAATCATATAACGTTCTTGCTGTAAATATTTCGCCCAACGTTAACAACTGCATATTTAGGTTCCATCATATTTTTCTAGTGAAAGTATGAGTGCCGAGAATACTCGTAAATTCCATCTTCAAAGAAAATAAACGCAGAAATGCCAGAAACACGTGACAGACAGATATAATAATAGTAAGTACAAGAAGTAGTGATGCTAATATGGCAACATGCACACGTAAGCCAAACAGTTGTTCTCTGCCATTTTATATTTGACCTTTTTCCTTTTCACTAACTAGTTCTTCTTAACATTGATAAACACAAAACTTACAATACAACACAATACAGTTTTTTTTCTATAAATGAGTTATCAAAATATCAGCGTACGTCACTAAACGTACCATAGCGTAAATACCCGTTTGGCACCTCACTGGGCATGGGGAAACTAGGGGTGGGAAAGCAAGTGATTCACAAACCTTCCGTAGTACAGTAGCGTGTTTAACTTGTACCGAGAAGGAGGTGTATCTTGTTGAAACTTCGTTATTTTGAGGGGTTTGAGTGAAACGTTTGTATTTTGTGAGGAATTAGTGCAGTACCTGTTGGGAATGCTGGCGTGGAATAGTTGTTGGTGATGATTTTTATTGGTTAATAATTTGAATCAATGGAAATTGTTATTTTTTTCACTATTTACGTAATGACGTTTTGCTGGCCGTATAATTCAGTGATTGGACAGTCCGTTACAGATAAACTGACTGGCAAATAGAGCTATCAGAGAGAAAGTGATACAAACGAGTGCCAACATGAATCACACATACATGAACACGGGAGTGCCCAAGCATCAGAATGGCCCTGCCAAGGCGGTGGACATGGATATGGACTTCGTGACAGATGCAAACGTTTATTACAACCTGCCTCCTCCCTTGCCATCGGCTAATTTCCGGGGCACGTCACTTCCTCGTGGTCATCATTCCCCACAGCATCAGCAGATGAACAGGGCATCTTCCTCTTGCCCCGCCTCACCCAAGCTTCCCTCTGCTGCCTCCTCTCCTCGGAAAGGTGGCCTCCCCCTGTCACGGCCGCCCTGTGCCAGTGACAAGGGAAGCAAACCTTCCCTGCCGCCCGCCGTGCCAGAACGGGGCGACCCGAAGCCGAAACACGAGAAGTTGTCGCACACTCGTTCCTTCGACCTGGATCACATCTACCAGAACCTTTGCACGGCAGTCAAAGGCGCCTCCAAACCGAGAAGCAATTCCTTCAGCATCCCGTGGCGGCGGAAGAAGAAACTGCAGGAGACTTCGCCGGGGATCGCGGAAGAGGCCCGGGAAGAGGGAGGAGGAGGAGGAGGAGGAAGCGGCAAACCCCAGCCCCTGGCCAGCCCGAGTGTCACGTCCAGCACCAGCAACGGCGCTGAGAACGGGAGCCCGAGATCACTACCCGACACCCGCGGGAGCAGAGCCAGCCTTAACAGTAACAGCGACAATAGCAGTGACAGCAGTAACGACGACGACGACGACGGCGAAAGCGACTACGACGGCTATTGGGGTGAGGTGTGTCCCAGTGTGACCTACATCAAGAGGGACCTGCCCGTGCCCCGCTTGCCTGCAGCCGACGCGAGCGCAGAGCAGGACGAGGAGCAGACCAGCTACAACACCACGGCCACCCTGCCCCTCCGCGCCGCCAAGGGACCCAAAAAGAACGGCGGCGACAAGCAGCAGACGGAAAATTTCGACTTGACGGCCAATCTAGAAGAATGGCGACAGAAAGCAAGATGGTTGGAGAGGAAACGCAGATCGAAGGACATTCGAATTACAGGTAATGATAAATAAAAAGCCAATCATACCCATTTTATGCACGAATTTATCGACCGTGCATGATATAGCAAACAAAATTAGGCTGAATTGATATTCAATTTAATATTTATTTCATGTAGGGAGTTTACTAAAATGGTAAGAAATGTAGGTCTATCAGATACACAACGGATAGACAAAGAGCCCCATATTTTCATAAGAACACTGAGTGAATGTATGTGCCCGTAGACAAGAGTGCGTATTGTAAGTGAGGAAGAGAAAGAAATAATCAATCTGTTCGATGTAAAAAAAAATGCGTTCACCATGGAGGGTGCTTATAAAATACTCGTCACTACATTGTAAAATTGTAGCCCCCTTTAACGTAAATCATTGTAAACTGAATGGCGAATAACTATCCCGACTAATTGTGCTTATCTGCCGGTTCACTTTTTACCAAAGCAGTGTCATAATTTTCGACTCGATTATCACCAGAGATTTGTTCCTTTGCCATAAAGTTCCAGTTAAAGATGGCGTGTTGACATACGCGGCTGTTCCGATGGCATCTTCCTCGCTTGGCGCTTGTTGCTCTTCAAGTTTAATTAGTGTCTGGATGTGAATATGATCACATTTTATCATTGGGACTTGCCGGTGTTCGGGAGGAAATGAAATCAGTATTTGATTTTCGAGCAGATTCGATTTGAATGATTACTCGAAACACCACCACCATCATCACTACCACCACCACCACCACCACCACCATCACCACCATCACCACCATCACCACCACCACCATCACCACCATCACCACCACCACCACCACCACCACCACCACCACCACCACCACCACCACCACCACCACCACCACCACCACCACCATCATCACCATCATCACCCTCACCACCATCATCATCATCATCATCATCATCATCATCATCATCATCACCACCACCACCACCACCACCACCACCACCACCATCACCACCACCATCACCATCACCACCACCACCACCACCACCACCACCATCACCACCACCATCACCATCACCACCACCACCACCACTACCACTACCACTACCACCACCATCACCATCACCACCACCACCACCACCACCACCACCACCACCACCACCACTACCACCACCACTACCACCACCACTACCACCACCACTACCACCACCACTACCACCACCACTACCACCACCACTACCACCACCATCACCACCACCATCACCACCACCACCACCATCACCACCACCATCACCACCACCACCACCATCACCACCACCACCACCATCATCATCATCATCATCATCATCATCATCATCACCACCACCATCATCATCATCACCACCATCATCATCATCATCATCATCATCATCATCATCACCACCACCACCACCACCACCACCACCACCACCACCACCACCACCATCACCACCATCATCATCATCATCACCACCACCACCACTACCATCATCACCATCATCACCATCATCATCATCATCATCATCATCATCATCATCATCATCATCATCATCATCATCACCACCACCACCATCACCACCACCACCACCACCATCACCACCACTACCACCACTACCACTACCACTACCACCATCACCACCACTACCACCATCACCACCACTACCACTACCACCATCACCACCACTACCACCATCACCACCACTACCACCATCACCACCACTACCACTACTACCACTACCACCATCACCACCACCACCATCATCACCACTACCACCATCACCACCACTACCACCATCACCACAACCATCACTACCACCATCACTACCACCATCACTACCACCATCACTACAACCATCACTACCATCACTACCACCATCACTACCACCATCACCATCACCACCATCACCACCACCATCATCACCACCACCACCACCATCACCACCACCACCACCATCACCACCACCACCACCATCACCACCACCACCATCACCACCACCACCATCACCACCACCACCACCATCACCACCACCACCACCACCACCACCACCACCACCACCACCACCACCACCACCACCACCACCATCACCACCACCACCAACACCATCATCACCACTAACGCCAACATCACAAACTTAACCACCATTAACAAGCACAAACACCACTAACACCAAAGATAACAAGGGGAAATGCCTCGCCAACTACAGGTTTAACAAACAAAATGAGCCGCGCGCCGACGAATTCCGCCCGGCACAAGCAAACAAACCAGGCACAAACAAGAATTTCGGGCGTAAACAAGTCGACTTCACGCCCATGCCTTGGCCAGGACGTAAAATACATTCCGGAAATATCAGCGGGTGAGCGAATAATCAAGACCCGCTGTTAACGCCCACACTTAAGCTGCTGTGACACGCGAAACATAATTGCGCGCGCGTTAAGGAGAGAATGCCAGTGTGTGGTACAAACGCCTGGGCCTTACAGCATAGAAATACCCACGGACAGTGTATGGACTACGGAAGCTGACAGACAAGAGCATCCCGGTA